ACGAAGGACGAAGGAAGGAAGAACTAAATAGTATCAGCACATTAGGTTGGGACGAAGAAGAGCATCAGACTATTGAACAAAGAAGTGTACGTAAGGAGATGGGGGGGGGGGAGAGAAAAGAAAGTCAGAAGACAATGGCTCATGAAGCATAGCAGCCCAAGACGACTGGTCAAAAAACTACTGAAAAAGATCAAGAATGTCACATACCTGAGTAATCAGTTTCAAATGAAAAAAGTGGAGGTGCCTGTTCCTCACCAAAAAGAAAAGAACTAGAAGCAATGGTAGGTAGAAGGAAAAGCTTGTGAAAGTTGTCATTAAATGATGCAAGCTCAGCAGAAGCAACAGAAACAGAACAAAGAGGGAACTAAAGGAGAGATGAAAAAGGCAGAAGAGTACCAATTATCTGATGTACAATGATGGTAACATTGTTTACAGACAATGCACCTCCAGCTGTTATTGAAACAACAGGAGGAAAATCCTTAAGTGGAACGTAAGAGCCTCAGGAAGTAGCAAAAACATGAATCTGAGAATTCATGATCGAAAATGGACCATAGATTGACAATGGTTAGTTTCCTCTTTTTCTAAGGTAGATAAATAAATGAAGGTACTCATAATTCAACAGAAAAATCAACTAAGACAAACTAAGTGAGCAAGACAAAAAAAAGGAACTTAGGGTAATGGAGCAAGTGTCAATCCCACAAATTTTAAAGAAAAAAACAATGCTAGAAAAAAACTTCAGAATGCTAAAAGTGCTGAGGAAAGAATGAGCCTTCGTTCATGGATAGTGTTCTTGGGGACTGCTACGTATGGAGGACATTTCACTCTCATATTTGTGGAGGGCTATAGTCTAATTATGATTACATTACAGGCTGGCACATGTTGACAATAATATCTTAATACAGTATATGAACTAGCTGTTAAGGAAGAGATTGTTGCTAGTTATGTCCTATGTTTTAATACAGATGCTGAACTACAGTTTATCAGGTAATTACTAATGCAAAAGACACCACTAATCCATCAACTAATTCCAATACAGTAGCTGCTAATAATTCATTAACTGATTCTTAAAATAAAAGTTGTTACCTGTTAATTAATAAGTCTTAATGTAGAAGTTTCTAGAGTCACTCAAATAATTATTAATGTTGTAATTAGTTTAACACTTGATCCTTAATACAGATGCTGTCATTACTCTATCAAATGATTCTTAATGAAGCTTTCACAAGTCCTTCACTTACGTCTTACTGCAGAATTTTTTAATGTCTGTGAATTACTTCTTTATATAGAATTTCATAATTAGTTCATGAAATACCCTACATGAAACTTAAGGAACATGAAATAACCTTCCTTCCAAAAATGGATAAGACATGGAATTCTGATATCTCACAGTCCCTTGAAATAGGTAATGAAGTTCGTGGTCATATAGCATGTATTTCATATTCAAATGACATAGCATTTATATTCATACGACATAGCATGCAACACTACCATTCATGCAGCTTCAATAACTACAGGTCTGTTGCAATGGCTTTCTAATAATAGCCCCCCCCCCCCACACTCTAAGGATCATATGTTGTCATTGGTAAGGTATACTGATAAGCCAAATGCACCCATGAATGGCCTTACAATAACAATTTTGTCCTTACACCCCAAGCCACAAACTGTACTTGCTTGGACAATGTACAGGTCCATGCAGCCAAGCAAGCCGACATCAGTTCACATCACAATTAAGCCATCCCCATAGGCATCCTGTTGGACAATGCATACTTCTGTGTAACTTTCCTCCAAATGATTTATAACCTGTGGTACACCCATCACTGAAATACAGCCATAACATGGACTCCTCTGTGACTAGCAAAGAACTCCATTACTGATTTCACTTTGGGAAATACCAATGAAATTGCCAATTGGTACTGGGAGCTACACCTTTGACCATGCCAATAACTCTTCTGCTTCTTCTATGTACCTATGTTATGGCATAATCAATGACTGTTTCTCTACACACATTAAGGTTCAAATGGGGAAACAAACAGTACTACCAAATGAAAACCAATCCATAAGAAAGTTCTACCTGTTGCAAGGGATGTTTACTGAAGCAGCAAAAATGGTCAGAGATTAACTCATATCCTCTTCATTTTTGAAGGAATATTCATCCTTAATTATTTTGTTATGTGGATAGTTAAAGAAGTTATAAACAAGACAACAGAATTTTTCTTAATGCAGAAGTTGGTATTAATTTCATTATCAATGATGAAAATCAAGATGATCAAAATCTATCAAAAGAAAAAAATTATAACATTTTAATGGTAATAATTTCACATGATCAGGTATGGAAGAAACTCAAGGATAAAGAAAATGAGAAAATTATCAAAGAAAAAAATCTTCACAAAAAGTGAAAAAAAAATGTCTAAATTAAACAGTTTAATTTGCAATCAATTACAAATAACCACCTTATAGCACTTTCAACTGCTAATTTTATGTTTAAAACATAAGAAAACTTACTTTTAATGTCAGTTCCATCTTTTTTCACTAGGTATAGGCAGAAATAACACAATAATTCCTCGTGCAAATTAATTTCTTTTGCTATTTCCTAAATATGAAAAAAAAAAACAGAGTTCAGTCCATACGTTCTACAGCATAACCTGTAAAAATAACAACACTTATAGTCTGTCTGTTAATTCTAGTTAACATAAAGTTAACTCAGTTTTAATATCTTACAGCACAAAAACCTTTGCATTCCAATCCTAAAAGAAACACAGCTTTACATGTATCTTACTAGTTTAACTAATTAAGTTTACAGCCTTAGATTAAGATACTACATCTACATGTAACACAGCTACTGTACTTAACACTTTTCAGAAGTCAGAACAAGGCAGTTTCCTGAAGTAACAGCTCCAAACAACTTGACTAAATTCATAGGTTAAAAAATTAAAGTGCGCTTGCTTAAAACTTTTTCACTATAGAAAAGACAACAAAATGAAACTCTAAAAGATATGAATAAAACTGATAAAATGAACTGTCACAAAATAGAGAATAGTGAAGAGAGTCACTAAATACATTTCTAAATATTCTTATAAGCATGTTGCTTTGTATTATTAACAGGGGCCTTCAAATTCACGCAGAAGTGTGTAATACATGAAAAGAGAATTATCCCATGAGATGTAGAAGTGTAATCATAGATCTTGGACACAGGTGCATCATTATATGGATATCTTCAGACACATGTTCACTATATACTAAATGTTGCCTGTATCCAGAAGTAAATCACCTGATGAACACAGATTCTAGCACTTTTAGCAATCAAAAACCATTTTTACCCATATTTAAGGTAATGATAGCACTTAACCTGCTAGGGAGTGACTTTGTTAGTTTTACCTATTGACGAATAACATGCATTTACAGTTAGTTTCTTTTTAATGTTACACTTTTATCCAGCAAAATTTACATTACCTTGTACAGAACATCTAGAAATAGCAGATGACAAGGTATAGTCATGTGAATAAAGTGATCCCAAATAGTTTATTTAATTACAGAGACACTGAAAACATCACGGTTGAAATAATTATTAATTTCACCTTTCAATAACTAGTTTTGAATATATCTTTAGTAAGATATATTCAAGTAATTTATTTGTTTTGTTTTTGTGCATGCAGATGTTCTGCAGACTGGATGTCCAAATGTCATAAACATATACTATTTGTTCTGCTTTAAATAGATAAAGGTTGAATATGGCAATGGCTGTCTTACAGAAGATTGTATAAAGATGGTTCTATGTCTGTGCTCACTTCCTAGAAGTGGGGGTATGCTCATCTCAAGGAGGGGCACAGATACTAAGACAAGTTGGTATGTACTGAGGTTCTCTCCTTTGAATATAGCATTTGGAATAATCATTGATATAAGTAATCTATGATATTTAGGATACTGCAACAGGACCCCTGCATCTAACCTGAAAATGTTGTAGAACATGATTCGCTCTTGGTTTATGGTCCTCCTGTGCAGATGTAGTTGGAAATTATTCTCCATCCCCAAAGCAAGTTTGAGTGCAAACTAATTAGAAGCCATCCCAGCTTTGTTTTAACATGGACACTTTTCATTATTGTGAATACGAATTTGCTTTATCTCTTTACTTGTTTTTCCTTTGTTGTTCATGTTCAATTTATTCTTCATTTAACAATCTTTAAAATGCATTCTGAAGATGCTGTTTAATATCAGTTTACTCGAATATAATGGACTAGTTAAAAAGCAAAATTTTGGTGCCATGACTAAATGTTTTGTTATTGTAGAGTATAATTTGAATGAGCTTCTTTTTAGATTGAGTTTCTGGTACTCTAATATTTGTAAATCATGATGATGGAAGAAAACTTTCTAAGACCATGTACTGAGGACTAAGAGAAGACCTCACTTACACTCAGAACTATTGCCAGCATTAATGGAAGCTATGTTAACATTCTCACTTCATTGTTGGGACCAAGAGATGATAGGTGGCTAAAAGAAACTCAGGATGTTATTATATGACTTCTAATAGTTACTTCTGTGGTCTGAAACAAAGGGAAGCAGAGAAGGACCATGGTGATACAGAGCAACCTGAATGTCCCGAGACTTATTGGAATGGTCCCTACAGAACACCAAGGCAAATTTTAACCAGCCCAAGCACCATAAGACACTGCTGGTTTGAGTCATCTGAGGACAAGGAGAGTGGTGAGATGTGTACATTGTCAGTTGAAGCAGCTGTGTAATGCCATGATTCAGTGGATCTTGGAGTTATTCAAGAGCCTTCCAGACTGGCAAGACACACTTAAAATGCACCTGTGTCTAGCAGATGAAATTGATGCAGAATATGGTGATGACTCAAGTGGTTTGACACACTAAGTCTGGCTTTTGGTTAATGGCAAGTTAAACTGGATAACAAAAGTACACCTAAGACTGCTTTCAGTACTTGGTAAAAACTGTACAATTCCTCCATCATTCTATTTGGTTTTTCTAATGTGCCTGCCACTTTCAAGAAACTTGTGAAGTTTACAATTAAGAGGACTAAAATGGAAGTTATGCTGCATGTTTGAAGCTGAGAATGGTTTTCCAATACAACAAAAATGGAGGGTCGAAAGAGTGTGCCTGATCATAGTTATTGCAGCAACAGTGACACTGAATTATATGGGCAGTGGAAATTCTGCATTTGGATGGATATTATGGGTACTGCGGTATCATTCAAGAACTCTTTTTAGGTGCTACCTGAAGCCTTATCTGTGTTTAGCACAAATGGAGAGAGTAACTGATGTCAACATTGATTGTCATAGAAACTAGAATGGGTTCTGAACTGTACTGCAAGTATGCACTGTTTAATATTTGATGACTGATATGTATGTGCAGTAGCACAGGCATATTTTTCAGTACATATCTGAACTAAGTTGTGTATACTGTTAGCCTGAGAAGTTGTGTTATTATACATACATACATATATATATATATTAAAAGGGACACAACTCTTCAGGCTAACAAAAAATCTGGCTCTGGAATAATGAGATATGGTAAGTTTATTAATGACCAAAGTGAGTAGCTTAGACTGCAATGAGAAATAAACATGGTGTGTTCTTTGTTATCTTAATGCAGGTAAAAGAATAAATACAATTTGGTCTCATGCTGGATTATATGTATGTGATTTATCACTGAAAAGGAGACACCAAGTTGTTTAAAACCTACACTACATCAGGTGACAAACATAGTAGACCCACTTTCACTTGTTTTGGCGGACAAATATCTTCCAGTTTTGGCAATTGACAGAATTCTAGATAAATATGAAATCATAATTACTTGTTCATTCAAAATGAAAGGAAACTTAATTTTTCCTATTGTTTTTGAGTATTGTTGATTCATAAATATGTTTGACTGGTGATTACCAAAATACTTCAAAACTTTGTACATAATATGTAATGTTTTATCTCAAGTCAATTTCAATGCGTTCAGTTCAGTACTTTGGCTATCAGTGTTAACTAAACAAACATGTACTTAAGTGTCAAATGTTACAAAACATTGAGTTGTAGTCATCAACAGTATTATTCTAACCAATTTACTTTTTACGTAATTAATTCCTCTTGAGCTTAACTTTACCTATATGCTAATAAGTTAAACTTCTCTAAATTGAATTACTTTGGAAAAAATAAGCTTCAATAGTGAAATGTTTTTGCATCAGTACAGAATTTTCTATAATAATACTAAAAGCTACAATGGTAGACTACTGGAATTATGTGGTGGAAAGTTTCTGTGAAGTATGATCACATTGTATGTCATCGGGAAGCCAACAAAAATCTTGATCTAAAACCATGGTTTTCTCCACTTCCCTTTAGAGTACTCAAAATATGTTGCTCTTTTTTTAACTCCACCTCCATGAGCTATTAAATAGGTTGTTGTGACAAATGTTCTACAAACATTTCTCTTATCATTTCTTAATATGCTAGACTATCTAATCTTTCTCAAGCATCACATTATAAAAAACTTCAATGAGAAATTTACTGCCTACATCCATGGCTAATACAATGTATAAAGTCCCAAAGTTTCCAAATATGTAACCGTTCAAACATGTCTCCCATGACATATGTGAGTTTGGCTAAGCATTAGTGCTTGCCTGTCTACATCTAATGGGCAGTTGTTGTTTTTACGATTGTGTATTTATCAAAATTTTTAAATTTTAAATTAAACTCTGAATTCACATGCAGCATATAAACACAAGGTTTTATGGTAATGACTAGCTTAACATTTACCTACTTTGATCCTAACTAGCAAGTGCTCATACATATTTTGTAATGCTGAGTAGAATACAGGGTGATGCAAAAGTTGCACACCTCCATGATATTTGTAAGTTCTGTCCTTACTATGATTTTTCTAAGTCATATATGAGTTTTACTAACTGACATTTTTTCTCGTTACAATATACCATTATGTACTGTGCACATTTTTAAAAGTTGGTATGTGCAATTCCTTCATCACTTTGCAATTATATTTTCTCTCCTCATTTGATAATAAAACATATACATTAGTCCCAAATCAATAGAAATTTAGCAAAATTTTTGAAGGATTATGTAAAACAAAACTTAGAAGTAGAAAAACGTGTTTTTTCACACTTAATATTTACTCCAACCAGTTTTAATAAAAATCCTCGGGAAAATAAATAAAAACTTGAATTTTTAGGTGAACTTACCAACAAAACCGTATCTGTGGCATCAGTTGTATTTACTCTAACAGTCACTTTGTGCCAGTTCATTGTATAAACATCCAGGTCAATGTTGGCTTGTGTAGCATTTTGAGTTTCCTGCTGTGCACTTAAAAGAAAACCCCTAAATATGTTACAGTCCCCAATATCAGGATCCTGAGATACTGTAGTGAAAATGCAAAGAGAGAGAAGAGAGTATCAGTAAAAAATAAAAAGTGCATATTTTTTTATGAAGACAGTAAAACACAATGGAAGCGGTATATCCCTTAAATATACAATTACAAAAGCATGCAATATTATATATATAAAATCACAAGAAACACAATAACATAATGTTAGGCTTATTTTGGTGATATATTTGTCGTCACATAATACAGTTATCTTTATCTTATATCCTTATTGCAATGGATTGATACAGCAGTCATACATGTGTATTAAATTTATATAAGTATAAAAATACTGTCTGTTGTATGTCCATGTAACTAATTTGCTGGGTGTTGATAGATCTTCACCAAAATTGGTATGGAGGTTCATTGGGTCCATGAGGAGATACATACAAATTTTCAGTTTTGCGTTTTTAATCACTACTTTGCTCCTGTTGATAGATCTTCACCAAATTTTGTATGGAGGTTCTTTGGGTCCACGGGGAGAGACATTCAAATTTTCAGTTTTGTATTTTGTGTTTTTATGGACATTTTTGTTTTTTACCACTACTTCACCCCTTGTTGATGGATCTTCACCAAATTTGGCATGAAGGTTTGTTGGGACCATGCAGAGATACATGCAAAGTTGCAGTTTCATATTGTGTTTTGCAGTTTTTATGGACAATTTTGCTTCTTTTTTTTTTTTACAATTACGTATAAGGGAAGCAACTTTTCATGTCCTAAAGATAACCTGTCATTAATCATGAACTTACATAACTTCTGTCCAGGGGATGGGTACCCCAGCAAGTATTATATATTCTTTCTAGCTTTGATCTGTATATCTATCTGTTTTAACTTGGATATGTGGTAGATTCAAGTACATGCACATCAGATGATAATATACTGTAATAGCCTTGACCAATATATTCACTATTTTAAACTTCGATTTTTGACATCACCCATGCATTAAATATAATAATAAAATCCTCCAAGTTAAAAAGGCAATATTTTATAAGTATTTTTTAACCAAATTAACAACTGAAATCAGAGGATAAGTTAGGAGAAATATTTATTCACTGAATAAAGTTATGAGTCTGTTTCATATCAGTAGGTACAATCACTTAAGTGGTCAGTGTTAGGTTGTAGTGATTTAATCTGTTTGAAAGAGTTACACTAGGCAAATGGAGAAATTCAGTAATAAGTATAACCCTTAAGAAGCATTGAAACGGTCACTGTACCTACAGGGCAGACTTCTGATCAGTCAGTACATGACATTTTAGAGGTTCATGTCCCATTCTTCGAATAGAACAAATCCGAACTTTGTGATGTTATAGTGGGTTAAGATATTGATGTATATGACATCCAAGGAAAGAGAAGTGTGAAACTAAGATCCAAATTTCTTCTTGGGCAAACCATGACTCTTTTTGTTTCTTGAACAAGGTAATCTATTAAATTCCTGGAATCTGATCCAGCATTATTCTGCATCAATGATAATAAGTATAACCCTCAAGAAGTATTGAAACAGTCTCTGTACCTACAGGGCAGGCTTCTGTAGTCAGTGCATAACATTTTGGAGGTTCATGTCCCATTATTTGAATAGAACAATGCCAAGCTTTATGATGTCATAAGTGGGTTAAGATATTGATGTATATGGCATCGAAGGAAAGAAAGGTGTGAAATTAACACCCAAATTTCTTCTTGGGCAACCTACGACGCTTATTGTTTCTTGAGCATGGTTATCCATTAAATTCCTGGAATCAGACCTAGTATTATTCTGTATCAATGCAATACCTTACCCTACTGCTTCAATGAAATATCTTACTACTACTTTCAATATTACATCAATATATTATTCTGTAGTAAATCCATCTCTCAGATGCACACCGATCCATATTTTTCCCTCCTCATACCATAGTTGAATTTTCATTGAAACAGCCATATTCAAAAATGTTGCAGTGAATGTAAAATTTACTTTTGGATCTCCAGAAATGAAATCTTCAGTCAATGATATACATGTAGGTATGAAACTGGAACACATTTATGAAAAGAACGGACACTTAATACAATACCTTCCAATTCTAGTGACCTCAACATAGTCCAAAGAAGCTAAGTGTGCATTACAAGGATGATATAGTTCTTCTTGACATTATGGTGTACTTATGCTCAATGACTATCATTCCAACTGATGTTCTGAAGTCCATTAGCAGTGGACTGTCAGTTTCTAATGCCCATGTTGTTCAGTTTATAGTCATTATGTAAAATTGCTGGACTTCCTTGACTTTCTCTAAGATGTTTAGCTGTTTGATAATGTGTCCCCATTTTTGCCATTAAAAATTGGATATACTAAAATGAACTGCCAGTTGTTTCTGTGTTGAATATCTTTAACAGTCTATACATCTGCCAAAAATCTTCACAGACACATAAGATCACAATATTATATAGAAACAATAACCAAATAATGAAATAAACATTTGTCCTTTAATCTAATATGCATGGGCTAATTCCATTGGACCAACTCTGTATTGGAGAAGGAATATTGATGATAATTCTATATTTACTGTGTATACACAAAATATGAAAAGCTTTTAATAAAATGTACAAGTCTATAATACACAAAACTTCAGATGAGTAACAAAGGTATTTGTACTCGAGACATGTCTGTGAATTGACAACATCAGTCTGACTTAGACTGAAATGTCGCATGTCGGAGTAAAATGTCATGTTCATGTGAAGAAAAATACTTTGTCCATTGTATATTTTGCACACTGCAACTGGTACCCTCAAAACATGCTAAATGCAAATCTACAGCTTTTCAGTATTTCTGTATATTGTATTCAGTATTTACTTTCCTCTAACACTAACTGTTGCTAAATTAGTAATTTAGGGTAAAATATTGTTTATAACTCTGACATCAAATACATAATACCATGTTAAATGGCACTCTATAAAAGATTGTAGCATGCACACTTTAACCCCAACTCGTATGCGTAGGATGTATTTTTGAGGTAGTATACACTGTTATAATTATGACCAGCACAGTGGAGGTACCTATGTTTTACATTGTAATCTTTAACATTATTCATTATGTATATAATGCAATATACATTGTTAGAATCTAGAAAAATATGACTGCTATCAATTATTTCTCATTTTCTGTTTATTTTCAGATATTCTTCTCTATTTGAAAAAAAAAGCATTGGCAAGGAAAAAAAAACTGTCAAAAAAGAATATATATAATTATTAGAAAGTTTTTTAATAATGAAACTGTGTATTCATGAAAACTGCTTATAGACTTACACGTTTGAATGTATTTCTCCAGTAAGATTCGACGCTCCTCCAGCTGAGGAGGTGACAAAGGAAGAAGCTTCTTTGGAGGAAACTGGGGCAGACGTACAGACTTGTACTCTTTCTTTAACTAGAGCATAATAATAAAACATTTTAAAACAGTTCATTCATACATTTACTAGGAATCACAACTGCTGTTAACTTAATTCTAAGAACTATAATATAAACTACTAACAAATAGAACAAAACAGAACAAAGAGAACATTAATATTTCACAATAAAGTAGTGGGACTTGTCAAACCAATAGTATGTTACCACTACTGAATTGCAAGTACATACAATCAGTTTACAGTTAAGCAACAAATTGCAGTTTAATCTGCACTTCATAACATGGACTGATATGTACATGTAATCCTGTGATTTTTAAGTTTCTACTTGTGAATCTCATTAATTCTTTATTGCTGACACTGCACTTATTTTGCTCTCAAAAATAATTTCTGAAATGTAGTTTGAAACTTTAAACTGAAAATAGATTTGCCAAATTTTATTGCAGTAAATTTATTGATTTCCACTCAACCATTTGTTTTTCATTTGGTTTTGGTGTGTTCAGAAATGTGGTATGTTTGCATATTTTTGTAGTTTTTTTTTTTATGGAGAAACCAAATTTATATTTCGTAAATGGTGATCTTGACATTTTAACCCCTAGGCTTGTGAACTTTAATTAAAATCTTTGGTTAGAACCATAGATTCTAGATATTATGAAAAAAGTAAATGTCTATAAAATGGATGGACAGACAGAAAGATGCTACATCACTCATGAACCTTCATGATCAGGGTGGATAAAAAGTAAAATTATATGGTTGAGTTCTAAGGACCACTATAATTCAAAGAGTATCTTTTTATAACATACATTTTAATGTATTGGTGAACTACATAAAATATGTATATTATGTTCTCTACAAAAGTATAAGAGAATAACTATTTATCATACATAAGAAAAGCGCCAGTGTTAAGAAATTTTCCAACAAAAGCTTGTGTATTTGGTTATTTATAATTATGATGATGATGTTCCGTGAAGCTCATTTTTAATTGATGAATGAGACATATACCTCTATAACTTCACTGAAAACTTTTACTACATTTGATCAGAACAAAGTTAACCTTTTTCTAACACTGAAAATGTATTTCAGATAGGTACTTAACTCTCCTCGCACAAAGCTATCTCGATCTTCTTCTACCTTCTAAGCATTACTAAAAAACATTTTGATGATCAACATATTAGTCTATATAACCCCATCAATTTTGCGCCATTTCTAAACATATACATATCATGTGACTACTCTCCACCAATAATATTGTGCCAACTATGTTGGTGCACCTAGCTCCCTCTGCTATTCTCACTCAATCTTCACTTTCAAGAATTGGCAGGTTCTAAAAGAACATCGGCCATGGGAAGGGAGGGTGGGATGTGTGTGAGAGGAAGGTAAGTACCTATCGGAAATACATTTTCAGTGTAAGAAAAATGTTAACTTCCACTCATACAAAACTAGGGGCTGGTTTAGGTTCACAACATAGAAACCAAGTAGAAAGTGACTTCCCAGAATGAATGGGTGTGCTCTGAGATGAACTAAGCACACGTATGGGGTACCACACTACTTCTGGAACAGGTATGCTCACTGCGCTTGAAGTAGGAAATGAATCTGATAAGGGTGGGTACATACACAACCTCAACCAGACAGACAATGTTTCATAACTTGTCCTTGGCATTAGGAGGATGTGCATAAATGCAATTTATTCCGAGAGGTGCAATTCAGAGTAAAATATAAACAGAATTAACTATGTACATACACAACCTCAACTGGACAGACAAGGTTTCAGAACTCATCCTCGGGGATTAGGATGATGTGCACAAATGGAATTCATTCTGAGAGGTGTAATTCTGAGTAAAATATAAACAGAATTAACTATATACATACACAACCTCAACTGGACAGATGAGGTTCCATAACTTGTCCACAGCATTAGGAGGATGTGCACAAATGCTACATGATTGCAAAGTCTAGCTCTAAGGGCAATGTATCACACAAATTCCACACCTGAAGATGAAGAGACGACATAGTTGGGTGAAAGAGAGAAGTGTGGATGGAGCAAGAGAGAGAGGAAAAGGGGCTCAGATGCGAACTGATGAAGTGGAAGAAACCAGGGTTGAGCTGGTGAAAAGAAAAGCCTCCAAAAGAACCTGACAAGGAGTCTTGTGTATCAAAGCAAGAACATGAACGAAAAGATGAAGAAGGAGGATAGGCATACAGAAAAAGGTAAGACCAGTACTGGCTGAGAACATTGATTGCCAGGGCCAAAGGATGAGGAACGATGAGGAAATGACGAATAGAAGAGGGGAAATTTGGTGTTGAAGGAGTGATGAAGGCATTGATGAGAGGCGTGTTCAACTGAGAGCAAACGCAATGAAAAACCTAAGGGTGGAGAGACCCCTCTATGCATAGAACCTTGTCTAGCTGAGAAAGAAGTGATCCTCTACAAAGTTCAGAGCCCCAGCACAGGACAAACTATGAGATGAACCTGAGCCCAAAATAGCAGGTCCAATGTGTGAAAGTAAAGAGTTCTGGAACAGGTTCTCCCATGATGATTGATATAAGAAACAACCAGAATTGTCAGAGTGGATCATGACCAACAGATCCACGAGAAGTGGGAAGAAATGTGAACATGTCCAACAGACAGTGGGAAGTTCAAGTACATTAATGTGGAGTGAATGTTCCTCTGAAGTCCAAATGTTAAAAGTCATGTTGTTCAGAGACACACCCCAGCTTGACAGAGAAGCATCTGTGAAGAGCTATAGATCTGGTCTGGAGTACAGCAAGGGGATGATCACTGTAGTATTGGCATGGTTGAGCCACAAAGAAATGTCCTTGAGAAGAAAACAGGGGAAGCACACAACTGAGAATAATGCATCTGGAGAAAGGTCCTGCAATTTCCACTGGAGTAGGTGCATGTGTATGCAGCTTAAAGGAATGAGTGGTTTGAGAGAAGCAACAGATCCAACAGCAAAAGAACCTTGTGCATAGAGTGTAAAAGAGAAGCAGAAATCATGATGATAAGACATTCAACTGCTTGTAAGTGAAATGGTGAAGATTGAGCCTGACTAAGATGGGAGGTGAAGAACACACACACCCAGATGTACCAAATATAGGGTGGGCATGCAAAAAAAACTTGGAAGGCTTGACAAGCCAGACAAACCACACAGCTTCCTGCAGAAGAATGCAGGTGTGAGAGAAGGAGTCCTCCTGAGAAGAAGTGAGAAGAAACTAATCATCCATGTATAATGGAACATCAGCCCCACTTCATGAACAAGGTGGGTGAATGCCCCCATGACTCAGTTGAAGACAAGGAGCAGATGTAATGCCAAAAGGAAGAGCAAGAAACTGGAAAACCTGATCCTCATAGACAAAACAAAGAAAATGTCCAGAAGACAGGGCAATCAGAATGTGTAAAAAGATGGTCTGAAATGTTGACCTTGATCATCCACAGTCTGGGTGAAAAGAACCACCAATGAGAAAAAACACCTCCATATGGAACCAGGGGATGACAAAAAAACAGTTCAGAGATGAAAAATTGATTACTGGACACCAGTCCCTTGTCTTCTTAGGGCCCACAACAGATGAGTGATAACTAGGTGTAGGGGTAAATGCCCTCTTGAAGGCATTCTTGGCCAAGCAATCCGAGATCAGATCTTTGAGACACTGAAGATAAAGAGGATCAGAGGGAGGAGGAAAGAAAACAAAAACGGGGAATGAGAAGGTGAAGTGGAAAGAGAGCCTGTGGGTGAGAACTTGAAGAACTCAGATGAAAATGAAAACCACAGGCTGGTGAAAAGAAGCAGATGGGTCTCCACAATGTAGTCACCAACACGATAAGCAAGACCCTAATGTCAGGGAAGTAAAAGAGTGGAGAAAATAGCTGGTCAAAATCATCATCATCATCATGTTCAAACTTCAGAGAAGGAACACTGGCTGAATGGAAGGAAGAAGGAGGCTCCCGCAGTTCCAACATTAGGAACATCGTGACTATCGTGGTGAGGCAAAAGTCACCATCATTTTATAACTAATAATGGCAGGAAACACCATAACAAAATTTATTTTTCTAATAGATGTAAATAAAACTATGCTGGTTATGTGAATCATGAACACTAAACCAGGGAAATTTAAATGAAAGTTAACTCAGTGGGAAGTCATCATAAATCCCAAGTAATTGATTAACTATTTTGAAACACATCCATTCAAGACAATGCAGAGGAAAAGAATGAAGTTATTTCAAACAAAAGGAGGTTGCATTTCGTTCCTATTGGTGGAGAGCTATCATTGTATGTTTATGTCATCATTCATTAGAGCAGTTCACATTAAATGTTTTTTCTTTTGGTGGAAGGTGGCTCAAGGTTAGTAGCATGCAGATGCATGAAAGAATGAAGCTATTCTCTATATGAAGGTGAGGTATCATCTCAGATATTAGAGTTTACAGTTATCACTATCCATGTAATCAAAATATTGCTATTATGTTTGTTGTTAACTACAAAGCAACAAAATGAGCTAATTTATAACTGCTAACTAGAGATAAAGCAAATGTTTTTTGTTTAACCTCTTTAACTGCTGAGTAGCAGGAAAGTTACTGTTAGGTAGTTCCCTCCACCAACTTTTTGTCCATTTATATTTTTTCCATTCTCTAACTAGCAGGTAAACAACTTTCTGGAAGCACCTACCACCAACCTTCTTTCTTACAGACTTTTTCTTCTTCAACTGCTGACTAGTAGGAAGGCAACTTTGTGGAGCACCTGCCATCAAATTTTTTTTTGTCTGTATGTACTATAATACTAATGGAAAATGGTATTAATTGATTAATAGGGCCATCAATTAATCAATTGGAAAATATCACTAATCACCCAGCCCTATTCAGGTACATCAGTTAATGTTACATATATAGTAATTCAATGTTTTTGCCTGTTTCAATTCAGTGTAAAGAAAGAACCAACAATAAGAATCTTCCAGCCAGAAAATTATGTGTAGATTACCTAAAACTAGCCATAACTGTTAAAGATACATGTATGTCTATGGAAAAGCAAGATAGGAGGAAAAACATTACCTAATGTTCAGAGTTAAAGTAAATGACCCGGCTTCACACTTAACTGTAGAATTACCAATGAAGGTAAAACCCATTAGATTTTGAAATATATTTTTCTAAACTGTTTTTTCACCAAATAGGTTGTGATTAGTTACAGGGTCGCTAATAACATAAAGTCACACAAACAAATTTTAAAAATGCTATCAATATTGCACTTAATCCCACTGATTACTGCTGGCGGATTTATGCATAGTAATAAAATAACACAATATCATTTGTGGCAATTAGTGAAAAATCACAGATGACAATGTAAGACTGAAGAAGTAACATGAATGTGTCAAAACTAGTTTCTCTAATTCCAAGTCTTCTGATAGTTTGTTCCATTTACTATGGTATTTCTTTATTTTGTCTTTTCAAGACTGATGTTTAAAATCCTCAGTTGCTCCAAGCCACCGAATTGAGAAAAAATAAATTATTCACTCTCACAATTAAATTTATTAAGCTCACCTGTATAAATCCAAAGTTATATAACAATAACAAAAGACTAGTGATTGCTAACAAACTGGTATTAACTTTTCATATACATGTATTCACTGCCTTATTTGGAGAATAGTTTTTAATTACTGCCTTAATAAGACTATGTTTGTTTTTCTGAAACACTTTAAAGTTTGGTAACATCTATAGGGACACTTATGATCAGTAAACTGTTTCAACAGTATCTTTGTCATCCCTTCTGCAAGTCATAACAGCTAGACTATGCATTTTTTTTTTAACAGTTCAGCACAGAAGTCTATCTTTTTCTTATTAAGTAAGTGATTAAGCATTCCAGTAGTTGATAATCTTTGTCAGATGAGATATGCAAACTTATCATGATATTTTAGCTTGGTAAAATGGCAATCAGTGAAACATCTAATCTATAATATTCTCAGGAGTAGGTGGTAGTGTGTGTGTGTGTGTGTGTGCATGTGTGTACAGGGATACAGCAGGGAGAAGCTGAATTAACTGAAAACACACTGAGATACAGGGGAGATGAGTGCTTCAAGATGAACAGTTTTTACACTCTAAAATGCAATCAGAGCCATTATCTGAAGCCTATTGCACAGAGAACTGTATTGCTAAAAGATCATATTCATCAACATATTTTACAGAAAGCCTTTTCTTGGCTGTCCAGCTTCATCAGCCATTGGCTATATGGTCTATCCTGTGTGTCTCTTAGCTGGAGCCACTGCCACTACTACTTGTTTTACAGATTTGTTTCTAGATCCTCCAAACATGAGCCTGGTTTGGCATATCCCAATCTAAATATAGAGTAAGACCTAATAAAGACACAACCAGCAAGTCTACATGTTTGATATATTCCAATCTAAATATAGAGTAAGACCTAATAAAGACACAACCAGCAAGTCTACATGTTTGATATATCCCATTCTAAATATAGAGTAAGATCTAATAAAGACACAGCCAGCAAGTCTACATGTTTGATATATCCCATTCTAAATATAGAGTAAGATCTAATAAAGACACAGCCAGCAAGTCTACAAAATAAAATGAGACCCTTTATTGTAACTATAAAAATAATGTAAAATTTAGAATAGACCATAATCATTATATTCATGTACATTATTATAGACTATATTTATACCAGCATTAGTATATATAACATTAATCTAGTGAAATAACAGCTCTATAAAAATTTTGGGCAATTGCCCACTACCCCTTTTGCAAGTAACAGACTTGTTACACTTACTAAGTTAAAGTTGCAACACTAGTCAATACCACAAGGCACAACTGAAATAATGGAATTATGATGTAGATTTATATGAAAATAATATTAGATTTAGTGTACAACTTTTGGGTTAGGCTATATTATTGGCATTAAGACTTTACAGGCTTACTAAGCATGAAGCCACGGAAGTCTCCTTAGTACCTAACCTTACCATGCTTACGATGACATCATTGTTAATGTTAACTTTAGACTGTTTAGTTTTTCAACTTACAACCAAGTTACGTTGTTATAGGCTAAGTCACTCACAAGTTTACACCAATTACAGACAAAACAAAGTGAATATAGATCTAGATTGAGTTTGATTACTTTCATGACTGTGTATGGGAATTACTTTGAATCACTAAATTAGCACATAAACTGTGCATGTTCACCACGATGTGATGCATACTTCACTTCAGAAAATTACTGATCAACTATATTATTAATATATACATGCTGGTCTACAAGATTTCCAAGCTTTTACAAAGTTGCATACTGGTAAACTTTTGTCTGAATGTTTCAAAGTAAGCAAACATTTGTAGTAGCCATTTGTCCAATAGTTTGGAGTATTGAAATTATGAAGTTAGAATTTTTATTTTACAAATTTAGCTTTTTTCAATTGATGGAAATCCATCCTGAGACAGAACTCTTCCTTTCATATATATATATATATATAT